TTTAGTTCAGAAATATGTATAACTAAGAAGACTGTTTTAGGATGACATTCCACTTTCTTTCACAAGTAAAAAGGTAAAAAAATAACAAAAATCAGAGGAGAAACCAACAAAGTTGTAGTGGAGAAACAGTAGAGAAAAATCAGTGAATCCAAAGTTTGGTTCTTTGCAAAGATCAATAAAATGGATAAATTTTGATGTCATTTGCTTGGCTGAGGTGGAGAGAGCTGAGCTAGCATGTGTCAGAATAGCCAACTAAGGTTAGCAACAAACCAGAAGTGAGTTAATCCTTTAATAACCCACTGTGATGATGTAAGCAATAGGCTGAAACTGCAGAAAATACCAATTCTCCCTGTTCCACCTTCCCCCATGGAGTGGTGCACTGGTCAAGGGTCAGGTGGATTAGTGCAAATATGCAAGTCATCTCACTGTTGAGGGATCCTAGAACAAACTGTAGCAGTTTTGTGGGTTGGTGGTTGGGGGTCATTGGGATAGAAGTGGTCAAATACTATGTACTGAGAGTGAGGAAAAGTGTCTCCAAAATATCTCCCTCTCCCTTTCTTAGGGAGGCCTCCACAGAGGTTGCTGAGGAGACTTCCGTCCAAGTCCTCAAATAAAGAAAACTGGGGATAAATGCACTGCGGACTAGGAATGGAAGTATGTGAAACAGCATAACCATGCAAGGTGGACTGTGACCTTTACTGAAATTCCCTTCAGAGGCTGCAGTGCATCCACTGTGCACCACGTCCATTGTAGGAGGACAGCTTTGCTCCAGGAGACCTCTCAGGAAAGCCTTTGTAGTTGCCTAGGGTTAAGTCTGAAAAACCACACATAGGTTTTAAATTAGGAGCTCACTAGATTAGGAGCCTCACTAGATTGCTAGGAAAAAGAAAAAGTACAAATTACCAGTATCAAGAATGAAGGAGGATACATTCATATAGACTTTCAAGAGAATATTATGAATAACTTTTGCCAATAAATTTGACAACTTAGATGAAATAGACAAGTTCCTTGAAAGACACAATGCTGTATTACATATAATCACCATGTTGTACATTGACTCTCCAGAACTTATTAAACTGAATGTTTATACCCTTTGGCCAACATTTCCCCTGTCACACTTGGCCCCAGCTGCTGTCAGCCACCATCCTACTCTCCTTTTGTGAGTCTGACTTTTATAGATTGCATAAGTAAGATCCTGCAGTATTTGTCTCCCTGTAACAGGCTTACTTTTTAATTTAGTATAGTCCTTCAGGTTCATATGTGTTACCATAAATGGCAGGATTTCTTTCTTTTTTTAAGCCTGAATAATATTCCGTTGTTTGTGTATCACATTTTATTTATTCATTAACTCATTGATGGGCATTTAGGTTGATTCCATTGGTTATTGTGAGTAATGTTGCAATAAATACGAACATGATCAAATGGGTTTATCTTAGGAAGACACATTTGGCGTAAGAGAAATCAATTTTTATGCCTTATTAATAGAAAACAAAAACAATTAAGTAGTAAAAGAAAAAGCATTTGACAAAATCCACCACCCTTTCATGGTAAAACAGAACAAAACATCCTAGAAATATAAGAGAATTTTCTCTCAACCTGATAAAGGATAACCATAAAAAACTCATAGATAACATCCTACTAAATAGTGAAAGTCAGAAACAAGACTAAGAACATGACAAGGATGTCTGCTCCCACCACTGGTTTCAGCATTGTGCTAGGTTTTCTAGCAAGGCAGTTAGGCAAGAAAAATAAAAAAAGGCATCCAGATTAGAAACGAAGATGTAAAACAATCTCTGTTCATATACTAGGTTATTTTTTATGTAGGAATCCTTTAAAAAATCACTAGAGCTAAAAGGTTACAGGATACAAGATAATTAAAATTCACTGTATAGCTATGCATTACAAATGAACAGTCTTGAAATGAAGTAATTTCATTACAGTAGAGGATATGAAAGTAGACTAGAATTAGAGTGTGGCAATGCTGCCTTATTGTAGAGGGTAGTTTTTATGGTAGTGAATTATATCTCAATTTAAAAATATCTGTGTGACAGAAGTGGTGAATTCAAGTATGATATATTTGATAGATTTTAAGAACTTTTGTAAATGCCACAATGTACCCCCACTCAGTATAATAAAAACAGAGGAAAAAAGATAAAAAATAAAAATACCTATGACAAAGAACTTATATGCAGCATTTATCAAAACTTATAATTCAGTAAGAAAACAAAAACACCCAACCTAAAAATAGGCAAAAAAGTTTGAACAGTCAGTTCTTGAAAGAATGTGTATGAATGGCCAACAAATAGATGAAGAGTACTCAACATGTTACTAGGGAAGTACAAATTAATGTACACAAGTGGTAATGCCAAGTGTTAGTGAGGATTTGGAGTAGCTAGAATTCTCATTCATTATTGGTAGGAATGCAAAATAGTATAGTCAGTTTGGAAAAGGTTTATCAGTTTCTTTTTTAAAAACTTAAATATACATTTACTATGTAATCCAAGAACTCTACTCATGGGTATCTACCAAAAGAAAGGAAACCATTACAAATGTTTCCTTGTCAATGATATACCATCATTGGTACTATCCTCTGTATTTGACCACATGTAGATTTTTTAGGGATACTTTCAATTTAAACGTATAGAAATATTTTTGTCTTATGTATTTTGAATATACAAAGCTAAATATATACAAAATGTTCTTTTACTTTAGAAGATATATTTCTTTTTGACTGGTAATAGTATACACAGTTAACCATAGGCAGCAATGAAGGGGGAGTAATTACCTGCCATTTATTGAGAACATTGACTCAGTGATTGAATTTTGAAGGATGAAGTTAGAAAAATATTTAGAGTCAAAATATATAAATATATAAAAAGAAAACTAGCTCAGAAAACAAAAGTCTAGGGGTGTGACTCAGATGGTAGAGCTCCTGCCTCACAAGTGCAAGACCCTGAGTTCAAACCCCAGTATTGCTTAAAAAAAGAAAAGAAGGCATAATTCCATAAAGACTTTTACATAAATGTTTATAATAACCTAATTCATAATAGTGAAAAGCTGACCCAGAAGCCCATGAATGTATGAGCTAGTAAGTTCAGCAAGGTTAAAGGATACAAGAGAAATACATTAAAATTCATTATATTAAATTTCATATAATTTCTATATTCTATATAATAGAATACTGCTGTGCAGTTAATAGGTATGAAATGCTAATATATACAGTAACATGAATGAGTCTCAAAATACTACTGTAAGTGAAGATGCCAGGCATAGCTATGTACAGACCAGGTACAAAGCGTATTCACACCATGTACTGTATGAGTCCCTTTATGTGAAAAATTTAAAAAGCCAAAACTGTAATGCTGGAAAGCACATCAGTGGTTTCTTGGGGTCAAGAGTAGAGGTCAAGATTGACTGCATAGGATACCTTAAAGCAACTGAGGCCAATAGGAAAAGGGGAACAGGTACTAGAGAAAAGGTTAGATCAAAAAGAATTAACCTAGAAGGTAACACCCAT